TTTGCAACTTTTTCACTCTTTTTTCAGCAAAATTTTTTAAAAGCCATTTTTATGTCTCAAAAACTTTTGCCCTATTGTTAGAACCACTGTCAATAATACCTGCCCTATTGTTAGAACTATGACCTAGATTTAATGATCGTGGCACAGAGTGGGACTTTGCAAATGTTGCAAAATGCAAAAGACCCTAAAAAAATCAACCTTCGACGATAATTAGATCAAGCGCAAGAACAGTGTAAAGTTGATAAATGTTCATTTTTTAGAAGATTCTAATACCGGAAGTGGACGTCAGACCTCACAAATGAAAGTATCAGCAGATAGCCAAGGTCAATACCCTTTGATCCTGTAAAGGAGAAGGTCTAAAAAGGTCAAGATCAAGAGATAAACGCCATTAAAATTTCAAATTGCTAACTATAAAACCGGAACTTGGCATAGGACAGCAAATATAAAAGTATAAATAGATAGCCAATGCCAATGACGTTTGATCCAACAAAGGTCAAGGTCAACAAAGGTCAAAAATTGAAAATTTTGAATTTCCAAAACCTGTTCCTTTTTTTGAACTATGAAGCAAAAACAATTGAAATTCTAAGACAAAGTTGCTCAAAATTTGAGGTAATTGTGTGCAAAGTTCCATTTTGAATAAATCTATACTTTGCGAGTTATGCCCCTGGCCAAAAATGTCAATAATGAGAAATTTAACCCGGAAGGGCCACGCCCACCTCAATTTTTTTTGAATAGGTTAATTAATATTCAAAATGTTACGTTATATTCCAAATGTCCAAAAGTTCCTACATAATAGAGGTCAAAAGATATAGGTCAACAAAAGTCAACAAAGGTCAAAATCGAAAAATGAAAATATCCAAATGTTAAAACCCGTTCCTTTTTTGAAACTATAAAGCTGAAACAACTGAGCTGTTAACACAAACTGGCCAAAAGGATGAGGTAATTGTGTGCAAAGTCTCTTATTGAACAAACGCATCCTATGCGAGTTATGCCCCAGCCCCAAAATGTAAACAATTAGTAATTCAACCCGGATGTGCCACACCCACATATGTTTTTTTGTCATAGGTGAATTCATATTTAAAGTGTCTAGTTGTATTCCAAATATCAAGGTTCTACATCTAATAGATCATAAGATATACATACACCAAGCTCAAAAAGACGCAAATATTGTAAAAAAAAAACAAATTTGAAAAAATCACGAATTTCAATTTTGCTTTAAAAAAGCAATTGTTATATATCTATGTAAAGTACACGAGAAGCACATTAGGAAACCGAAAAAATTAACCCTCTAGGTTAAGTAGGTCACGTGCTAGAGCAGTCCAAAATTGCGAATTTGGCTTTTTACGGATAGCTATAAAACCGGAAGTACATGTCGGAGGTCAAAGGTCATAGTATCAAATGATAGCCAAGGTCAATGACCTTTGACCCTATGAAGGTCAAGGTCATCAAAGGTCAAGGTCACATGGTGTGATAGTTTCAACCCGAAATTGCAAAAAAGCAAAAGCGAAATTCAAATTCGGCTCCCAATGTTTTTTGCGCAATCGATTGCAGAATACATTCACATCAAATTTGAGCATATCAACTTTTACCCAGAGGCCCCATTTTGAGTTTTACAAAAGTGTGTTTTTTCAATATGGCGGCCAAAGTATCACTTCCGGTCTGGATTTTATTTTAAAATCGGCCATAAAATTTTATTTGCCAAAGATCAGCCAAATTTTGTTGACCTACATAAATTACACCGGAATTTATTCAACCGGAAGTAGATTTGAAGTTCAGTCGCTTTCCTGTTGAAAATCGGAAATGACGTACAAAATTTGACTGTATCATATTATTAACATTAGTGAAGTCTCTTTGCATTTAAAATTTCAGATCAATCGATGCAAAAGCAAAAAAGTTGCAAAAAAATCGAAAAATTTTATCGAAAAAAGTGAGCGACGAATTTTCGAATTTCGTAATTTTTCAAGTGCTATCAAGTCAGAAATTACAGGTAGATTGTAAAAATGAAAACCCGAAGAAAATCGATGCAAAAATGCGCCTTCTAGCGCCGATTTTCGACTTTTTGCACATGTTGAACCGTGGCACTTCCGGTTTTGCAAAAATGTCCCAATTTATATTTATGCACATCGTCACCTATATAATTCTAAGTCTATGAAATTTGAAACGTTGCTACAACTACTGCAGTCTAAGCTCGGGAAGGTGTGGACGAAACGAAAAAAAAAAAAAAAAAAAAAAAAAAAAAAAAAAAAAGGAATGGACATTTCGATAACAAACTGGGACAAAAAACAAATCAATTTATATATATATATAATATGTTATATGTAAGGGAGTGTGTAGTATTATTCTAAAATTGTAAATTCGTAAAGAAGTGAATGCAGAGCACGAAGGACGTTAGAGCCTTGAAGGTTCAACTGCAAGTGAGGATAATGTAGGTAGGTAGGTAGGTAGGTAGGTAGATGACAAGTTAACGTTCGCTTCCAGCGGATGCTGATATCGCAAACTAGGTAGTTGTTGGTAGCCAAAACATTCTGTATGGTGAGTGGTATGCCGTTGGTTTCCAGGTACTCTAGTAGTGGCTTACGAGCGGGTTTCAGTTCAGTGCATTGAATGAGGACATGCGACCTTGTGGCAACGTGGCCGCAGCGACATTTAATGGTGTTGAACTGATGGTCTCGTAGTACGTTGTTGGTCCGGAGTCTGGTTGCCACTTTGCAGATGGCTACACATGGATGGTTTGGTTTGGTTTGGTTTGGTATCTTCGGATCAATCTGGTATCTTGCGT